TTTTCTGGTGGGGGTGCTTCTGGGCATTTAAATGGGGGATCTGGGCTGACCGACTTGAACTGAATGCCTTCAGGTTGAGGCTTACAGCTGAATGGTATGTCCTTTAAGCATTTATTGGCAGCCCTCGAAGAACTTTGCAACATGTCCTGATAAATAACTCTATCCTAAGCAATTTTTACTTGCTTTACAACCTGTTAACTTCTTTAATAAACTCTTTAATCATTAATTTTGTCTGTGAGTTCTGGGTAACCATTGCAATAGATGGAAATAAATGGAAAAGTAGGAAATGCTAGTTTGGACAACACAAATGTTTCCTCTTATAGACCGGAAGGTGCATTATTCTGGGATCATGTCTTAGATGCTCGAAGAATTCAGTTAAGTGTTGGTAAAAGGTGTGCTCTGGCTAGTTCTGGAATCTCAGGAATAAGATTGCCCCTCTCTGATGTCAATTGCCCATCTGTCTACACCAGGAGGGGAGTGGGAGAGAAGGTCATTACTGGACCAGATGAACTCTGTAAACTCTCCTGATCCAAAACTCCAGGACTCCCCACTGCAGGCATCTTTGACGGCCCACACAAGACGACGGAAACCACACTAGAAGTGTTAAAGAGATCTTATCAAGGCAGTTCCAACGTATGAGCACCCCACAAGTGGCCAGAGTAGACGGTGCTCCATGGGGTCTCAGTGGCTGATCTTTCAGAAGTAGTCATCTTGCCCTGTCTTCCAAGATGTCTTTACGTGGACTGGACCACCCACCTTTCAGTTAGCAGCCAAGTATATTAAGCATTTACACTACCCACCAATTCTAGGAACATAAAATTTAACATAGGGAACTGGCTACAGAGCTGCTAGAGGGCTGAGAGAGCATTTTGACCCCCCTGAAAGTATATTGTCAAAAACATAACAGTGTCTCGCTTTATGGGCTTCTGCCCAATGTTCAGAGATACATGTCCAATTCACCATAGACTGGCTACTTCTGTCCGCATGGCAGCACACTGCCCTGTGGCTATTTCTGCTTGCAGAGTCTTAAAGGGGGTGACTCTCGTGGAAAGGTGTCCCAGAGTTCCTGTGAGACCAGTGATGGGATGGAGAAGTACAATAGGCTCACCGAGAAGTGTTACACACTGACAAGGTAAAAAAAAAAAAAGGCAAACTATGCGCCTCTCCACACCCCTTCAAACACCAGAGCCAGGTGTTTGTCTTCCTCCACTAATACTTGCTGTTGCCGTGCAAAAACATGAATGGGCTCAGTAGAAAAAGAACCTGTAAAGCATCTAACAAATAAAGGCCAATATCCCACACCCCCAAACCGGCTACTCCAGCGCACACCAAGAGCAGGGCGTAGTATGGCGGTACTCACCCACGCTGCTGAGGGAACCGCTACTCTCCGAGTCTGAAGGCATGATAGACAAGACACTGTAGGTGGAGCCTGGGGGGCAGAAGGAAGATCATTTGTTACTAAATCCAAAGGGGTCGATTTTCTCTCCTCCCTTAACCCTGTGCCATGGGAACAAGCACTGCACCAGGGATGGAAATCCAGAATCAGGGAGCCGACCGAGAAGGTGCCTCTGCGTTCCAGCACACGACTATTTCAATGTGCCAGGCCAGCACCGCGAAAAGGAAAACCGAGCAAAACACAAACTCCCTGCCATCGAGTCAAAACAGACTTGTCGCGACCCCATAGGACAAGGTAGAACTGCCCTGTGAGCTTCCAACACTGTAAGTGCTTACGGGACGAGAAAGCCTCATCTTTCTCCTGAGGAGCTGCTGTTAGTTTTGAGCTGCCAACCTTTCGGTTCGCAGCCCAATGCATAACCACTATGCCACCAGGTCTCCTCGTGAAAAGGAAAAGAGAAAAAAATCAATTCAGATCCATGTTACTCACTCAGTACCACTCAAATAAAGAGCCTTCTCGCTGGCTGTTAGATTGACTCTTTTCCTGGTACATGAAGAAGGAAAGACCGGTTTGCTGAATTTCCAAAGTTAAAAACAGCCACCAGTCAAAAAGCTTGTTTCCCTTCTCAGCTAAGCCGAGGAGGCTTTTGCATCAGCAGGAAGCTGTGTGTGAGGAGAGCTTCCCCTCCTGGGTCTTCTCTTATAGCTGCGGAGCTCCAGAAGCAAGGCCAAGGAGGAGCAGCGCCTGAACTGAGACCGTCAACTCGGAACCAGGCGGAACCAGATGGAACCCAAAACAGTCCTGCTTTCTGCTGCCACCCGCTGCCTAGGTCGGACGCGTTTTGCATGGTTTAGAAACAGAAAGGGGCCCCAAAGCAGAGTCTGATCAGCTCGTTAAAGGGTGTCCCAGCCATCATTTATGCCCTGGAGATTAGGGGGTGAGATTGAGGCAGGCTTTAAGAGTCCCCTAGTGCAGTCATTACTTTGAAATAAGTGAATTTCTATTTACAGTGAAAAGAAATTTGGCAACAATAATGGATTAAGTTTGCACAAGATTAAAGTAATTGAAATCACTGAATTATACACCCCCAAAGATTGCAATAGACAATGTTTTATCATATGAGGTTAAGTTAAAAATCAATGCTACCACAGTGTTAACTTGAATGAAAGAGAGGGCAATATACAGTAAGAGAGATGTGGGTGAAAAATGATTAAGGGATAATGCTGGGAGATTTGTAAGAGTTAAAGGTAACAGAGGCAATACACACCCCACCATTGGCAAAGGCACAGGCTTATAACAGCTTTGAGACGGAAAGTGGGAATAAGCCCACCAATATACAGAGACTGGAGAAAGGATATTTGTGTCTTTACCTTTGCGACAAATGTATCCATGAACACAGCAGAGCATCCAAACCAAACCAAACACTGTCATCGACCCAATGCCAACTCGTGACCCTTCAGGACCATAGTCTTAGAGGACACTAAGATCAATTGGCATAACCTAGGTCACAAAGAAAATGTTCTACATTCTACTTCGGTGAATAGCAACTGGGGTCTTAAAAGCTTGTGAGCAGCCATCTACGGGATAGCTACGGGTCTCTCTCCCCCCATCCAGAGGAAGTAAGGATGAAAACCAAAAGACATAAGGAAGCAGTTAGTCTAATGAACCAGAGGAACATCACACTCTGAAGACGGAAGAACTAGATGATGTCCGGCTATCACTATCAACTGCTCTGAAAACGACCACATTAGAAGGATCGGGATAAAATGGTAGGAACATGTGGACCAGAACTCGAAGTCTTTAAAAAGACCAGGCTTACTGGCTGAGTAGATGGATGGGCCCTAAGTAACCTAACCCTTCAGTTCTGTGACTAAACTCACCCAGGATGAGAATGATCAACCATTTAAAATCAAAAGGGGAGGAGTTACCCAAGGACGGACGGTTAGAAAGAGGAGGAATGGAGACAGGCACCACGGGGAGGAAGTGGTGATCAATGGTACACGAACCAGAACACAGTATGGGCAGGAAGGAAGCAGTTCTCTGAAAGGCACCTAGCGCCATAGCTCCTGGTTCCGGCACCAAAGGCTACCTCCCTTGCTTGCACTCTGTTCTGCTTACCTCACCAACCGTGCAAACACCTGCCAGCTCAGAATACTGGGCAAGCTCAGAATCTGGACCCAAACCACCTGGCCTCGAACTTATTTATCACTCACCAGCTATGTGACTGGGACCAAGTTGCTTACACTTCTTGCACCTCATGTTCCCTTCTGTGCAATAATGGTGGGTTATGAGGTCTAAGGAATCTCTAGGTGGTACAAAGGGCTAACGCACTTGGGCACTAACCAGAAAGTTGATGGTTCAAGTCCCCCCAGAAGTACTTTGGAAGAAAAGCCTGATCTACTTACCAAAATGCTGCCACTGAAAACGCTAGAGCGCAGAATTGCTCTGCTGTAGCTGGGTCACCATGTCTGAGGACTGACTTGCGGACCAAATGAAAACAGATATGTAACACATATCAAGTCCCTAAAACAGCGGTTCTCAACCTGTGGGTCACGACCCCTTTGGGGGTCGAACGACC